CCGCCGGGCCAGACGGTGCCTGCGATAGGAGCCTGCGGGTTGCTTGTGGCTGTGTCACCGAGGCAGGGCTCGTGTACACAGGGAAGGGGACTCAGCATGGAGCCTGCGCATCAGGCAAACCCATTCTATCAAGGTGGCCACGCCAAGGGTGCCCACACCATCCCAAAGGCTGTGGCCGCAGCCATCTGCCTGGGCAGGGCCCTTCCCAAGCCCTGTCCCCTGTGCTCTTGCACCTGCCCCAGTTATTCACTGCTACCCTGGTGTCCTACAGCCACAGAGGTTCGTGTGATGTGCTCTGCTCTTCCTTTCCGGATTAGCCTGCCTTGTTGGGCCTGGGGTCTGCCTCCTGAGTGCCGGCTCAAATCCTAGTGAGGACACTGTAAGCTGGTGCTCATGGTGTGCTCAGTCTAAAAGCTTCACAAGAGGGAAGTTGTATCAGAAATGATTAGGCTGGCCCTGTAGCTCAGTTGTGAAGGGAGCTAAATCTCACGTGCAGTTTGAATCCTGGCCCTGCTGGCTTGAAAAGCACTGGGTCATGTGCATGCATGTCCAGAGTCTCGACAGGTTGGAGAGATGGGGGAGAAGGGGTTGCATTATGTTCATGCCCCATTGTGGAGTGCGCTCTCGCTCTCTCGCGCCCTTTAGCAATATAAACAAGAAAAGAACTCGACTTGCTCTCAGTATGCACAGTTTGGTATGCTATTTTTTTTTTAAAGAATTATTTTAAATTTTATTTTATTTATTCATTCATTTATTTTAATTTGACCATAGACACACACACACACACACACACACACACACACACACACACACACACACACAGACACACAGTGAGAAAGCACGGCGCCAGGGCCGGGACTTGAACCGTGGTCAGCCATGTGGGAGTGTCCAGCACCTTAGCCACCACGCCACCTGCTGGTCCCTGGTATGCTACTTTTAATAACTCTAAAGTAAAACATTCTGATCAGCCTGGCTGATGATTATGTTTCATCTTCGATTGGCATCATCAAGTAAAAATAGAAAAGCTGGGTAAGATATCCTCGTGAGCCTTCTGCGCTGATGTCATCTGGAATTTGCACAGAAGCTCCTGCCGGGTCTCCTGTGTGGAGGGTGGCCAGTCAGTAACCACACCAACCATTTCTCCCACCAGGTATATGGTGCAGTGGCCGGGAGCACGCATACTGCGTCGCCAGGAACTGGACGCCTTCCTGGCACAGGCGCTGTCCCCCAAACTCTACGAGCCCGATCAGCTCCAGGAGCTCAAGGTAATTCATCAGCCTTGTCTCATCGCCTTGGGAAGTCTTGCTTAGGGTATGGGCATAACCCAGCTAACCTTCCCGGGTAGCTCAGCACCTTGAACTAATGCCACTAATACCATGTGAGGCCCGTCGCCTCAGGGTAAGAGGAACGCCCCTTCTCCTTATGGATCTGCCACCCCCAGTTTCAGAACATCACTCTACTTTTGTCAGAGAAAGACTTCCCCTTATTTACTGACAGTGGTTTATTCTTATTTTTCATATCAGAAAATGACCTTGTCATGTTTTTCTTTTTTCTTTTTTTCCCAGTTTTAGGAGGGGAGTCCCAACCCTGGGAGGGCTTGACCTTAAAAATTTTCTAACATCTAGCTAGGATTCCTTTTCTTATTTCATTCCATTGTTCCTAATTCCAACTTTAGTTTTCTCTGAAAAATATTCTTTACCCTTAGTTTTGTAAAATTCCCTCCAAAAACCACTTGAAGAACAATGCTGGCATATCATCGCCCCGCTGCCCTTCCCAGTCAGCATTTAACATCATATTCTTTTAGTTTTGCCTTCTAGTAATAACTTTTGTTCTTTAATTGTTTTAACAATATTGATTTTCTCCAAGTTGTCATCTAATTTTTAACGTTCATATCTTTTTCAGTACACACTTATTAGTTGCTGTGTTTGCATGGTTGTAATTGCTTTCTAATTTCTGTACTAAATTTTAGAAAGCTCAAGACTTTGTAGTTAGCTAAATTAGTTCATCTGCCTTTTCTTTTTAATGTACAGTTTTGTTTTATCTTTGCCATATTATTTATTTCAAACACAGTTTGATTTTTGATCAATCTTTTTTTACCAAATTGACTTGACTTTTTGATCTTTTTTTGCCGTTCTTTAAGAAGGCAGTCTTCCCCTGCAGCGTGGGTTTAAGCTCCCTTTCTGAGTCTCAGCGTTTCCCAGGTGGTGCTCTGTAGCTTCTGGCTCTCCCTGCGCTGCTGTGTTAGACTGAGGAGTGGTGGGTGCTGCTTCTCCGCTGTGTGGAGCTCACCTGTGGTTTCTGATGATTCTGAACAAAGTGAAAAAACAAACCAAAAAAATCAGAAAAATTCACCTGGAATTGTATTTCTTACTTTGTAGTTCAAGCTTTCTGTTTGCTAGACCGAAGTTATTATTTTTAATGTTTTTGCATGTACATTTCTGTTCTCAGTGTTTGATCAGGGGTCCCCGCCAGGCAGTGTGGCTGGCGCTCGGCCAGGTCCTTCCCCGTGTCACCTGTCTGTCTCATCCCTGCCGCGTCTTGGTTACAGACTGTGCTCGGGGGGAAGTACTTGGGCTAGCCTGTGGTGCCATCCCGCTACCTCTCCTCCTGTTTCTCTTATATAGATTATTACGTCAGTATTGACATCCCAGTTCTGAAACTCAGCCCGCCAGGTATCAGGTATGCCCACTAAGCCTTCTTCACCATCAAGTTACTTTACTCCAAGTTCATCTGATATCCCATGTCCTTTTCATTTTTGGATCCACACATAGGCTATGACTTGAACACAGTCACACTCCAAGCTTTCATTTCAGTTCTTGTGAGGTCTCAGTGCTCTCATGGTTTGCTTCTGATTCTTCATCTAGAGTCAGACATTTCTAGAGGTGGATCAGAGAAACACGGCCCAGGTGTCGTGCCCTCGGGCTCACTCCCGGTGCTCTGGGTCTTGCTTGTCCGGAGGTCGCTGGGTCCCTGTAATCAGGACAGCCTGTACCTGCAGATGCTGCGTTTGCATGACGAGGACAGACCCCGAAACTTGGAAACGTAGCCTTCCATAGCAGGAAAGGCCACTGTGTTTTGTTTTAAAGACTGAATATCCTTCTCAGCTATCAGATTGAGAATTGATAGAAACAAATGTTATGTAAATGCTACAAAAATTCCTACTCAGAGCTGAGAGTTCCAAAATTCAGTGATAGGAAATGAAATTTTACAAGTGCTTTCTCACGTAGCCGTGACCATTTGTTGACATGTCAGAGAGCAGCAGGGCCTTGCCGCCTCGTGGCCCTCGTTGTGCTCGCTCCCTCACTGTCCGGCGGCAGCCACTGTGCACCCGCGCCCCACACCCTGTCTCTCTCCTCCCGTGTATCACCCACCGCGTGCTCTGCCCTCAGACGAGGAGAGAGCAGAGCTCCAGTTCTGATAGCCGGGGCTATTGTCAGCCTTTCTGCGGGAGGTTTGGTGAGGACTGACTTAGAAATCATGGGCAAAGGGATTTTTAAGAATTCCATCTCATCCATGCTGTCTGTGTATATCCACCATGGCCATGAGTGGGTGCGTGCTCTGTGTGGGTCCTTGAATGCCTAGGACAGTGGTTGATGGCCCTCATGTTGTCCCTGCTGTGTTCGTGAAGCACCTTTCCCAGGTTACAGTGTCCATGTCATGGTTACGGGAAGAGGAGCACTGGCCCTGTATTCCGAGGGGGGCGGGCCAAAGAGCAGGAAGGGGAGCTCGCACAGCCCCGTCCTGTGCAGTCTTCTCCTCCTGCTCTTGGCCTCCCTAAAATTGCCTTCAATTCTTTTGACAGTCTCCTGTGCCAGGTGCAGAATAGCAAAGATGGAGACTGGAGAGCTTTACGGACAGTATTAGGGTGTGCAGCGTGCCCGCGATACTGTAAGAACTGTCCTGCATATAGGTAAATACGACAGGCTAAATAAAGTAAGAGTCTGTGCCCAGTGATTAGAAATTGGACAAGTTCATGTCCCTGAAATTTGGTTCTTAAGCTGGCTGGGCAGCGACTGATGCCGTTTGTGCTTCTTAGAAAGCTGGAGTTTTCATCTGTGTTTTTCTAGTTGAGGACTTGTGGCTGCTATTGAGTGCTGTATACCAACTGCGATAAGAGAATGGAGTTAGAGCAGGACCATGGCAGCCATCTCCCGGTCCGGGGCTTAGACTTGGACCCCCGGTCTCCAGCTGCAGCCTGGTGCTCCCCGGGACTGATCTGTCTGGGGGAGCTCTGGGAGAAGTGGCTGTCTCATGTGGTGCGGAGAAAGGGAAACGAGATACTACGCATGCACACGCGTGTTTAGAAAAAGGCAGTATCCAATGAACTTCGGTTCTATTCCCTGTAAATATTAGGTCTTATTGTATAATTAATGTTTAGGACAAGAAGGAAAAATACTTGAAAATTTTTTCTTTTTTTTTTTTTTAAGGAATTATTTTATTTAACTGTATTTATTTTATTTTGACCAGAGAGGGACAGAATGAGAGAGAAAAAGAGGGAAAGTGAGAAAGCAGGCTGCCAAGTCTGGGACTAGAATCGTGGTTGGCCATGTGGGAGTCCAGCACCCTTAACCACCGTGCCACCTGCTGGCCCGGAAAAATATTCAAAGGAAGCAAAATCTGTACAGCAAAATTGCAAGTGTTTTCTCATTGTTTGTATAGCTTTCATTTTAAGAAATTTCTCACTGTTAAATTAATGGTAGTCATTACTAAAACTGATAATTATTTGAAACTGTAAACATCTTTTTTCTGAGAGAAAGTGAGAAATCACCCCCCCAGGGGGATTGCCATGTCGCTATCCCTTCTCTTCCATTCTCCTCTCTGGATTTTGGGCATGCATGCACATGTGCCTGGTGTGAGTTTCAGGCTGCTGGATCTGGGACTCGAACCATGGGTGGCCACATGGGAATCTAGGTCCTTAACCACCATGTCATATGCTGACCCCAGAAATATAATTTTTTATGGTCTCTCACTTAATGTTGAGGCCATTTAATTAACACATATAAGGACACTTCAAGGAGTTTGTGGAAAATAGAATTAAAGTTTGAGTTGATGTAGTGCCCCAGATTTTGAAACCAACATGTATCGTGTTGGTCCTCACAGCTCACAGTTGCGCCTCGAACCCCCTCGTGTGTGGTGCGCCATCGCCTGGCCTCACGTCTGCCAGTGATCAGGGAGAGCCCCAGCGGTGCTCCTGTGCCGGGGCCAGGCTCAGGCTCACACCAGTCAGGAGGGTATGAGTCTGGGTGTGGCCCCAGCAGCCCACCGCCGAGAAGTGCAGCCTCTGCTTACACGCAGTCTGGGCGTGACATTCGGCTGCGAGGCAGTCGTCTTTACAGCAGCACTGTTTCCTGTCCCTGATCCTCAGCTTGGATTCTCCGTTCTCTGGCGTAGGGCAGGGCCACACCTGCGCCCCTGGGCTGCAGGCGGTGGAGTCTCAGCAGACTGGAAGGGGTTGTGGTTGTCCTCCCAGCAGGGCCCTGTGGCAGCCTTGGTCCTTCAAGGTCTGCACTCTTCCTGGCCACTTCCCAACAGGGCAGCCCCCTCCTTCTGCCTTGAGCATTCTCCTTCCTTCCTGTGGCTCAGAGACGGGCAGCCGAGTTTAAATAAATCGAGCATATTGTCTCCATTCTGTTCTAGTCTGACCCTCTCCACAGTGCACATAAATGTAAAAATGCATCTAGATTTGACCCTTGAACAGTGCACAGTTGGGGTGATGAACCCTGTGTAGTTAAAAATCCACATATAAGTCAACTCCTCAAAAACTTTACTAAGAGCCTAGTATCGGCTAGAAGCATTACCAAGAGCACTCAGTTAATATGCCTTTGGTATGTTACATATTATTCTAGTCTATATTCTTGCAATAAAATAGGCTAGATAAAATATTACTAAGAAGATCATGGGGCTGGCAGGTGGTGTGGTGTTTAAGGTACTGGACTCCCACAGGGCCAACCGCAGTTCAAGTCCTGGACCTGATGGATCGCTTTCTCATTTTCTCTTTTTCGCTGTGTCTGTCTCTGTGGTCAAACTAAAAAATAAATAATAATATAAAATAAAATAACTATTTTAAAAAAGTATGGAAGATAAAATTTATTTATAGTACTGTTTTATATTTTCCAATATATTTATTAAAAACCCATGTGTGAGTGAACCCAGCTGGCTCACACTGTGTCCAAGGATCAGGTGTAAGCCCACCATCCCAGCCCCACCGCTCTCGGCTGGACGTTTTTATTCCACTTCCCAACGGCTTCATGGGAAAGCAGAGCCAGGGACGCGCTGTTGGATCAGAAGGTGTTGATAAAATAGCTTTTCCAGATCTGTGAACCAATTTCTGCAGAGTTGGGAAGCTTAACTGACGTAGACATTTTTGAAAAGCCAGAGACCCCAGCGCTGGCTGGCAGTGGGATGTGCTGACCTAGCACCCTGCGGTGGCATGGGTGGGTTATTAGCACTTGGCATCAGAACGGTCTTTCTTCTCTTTAATGCAAAGCCATCTCACCTGCCACAACCAGGCATGACTGAGCCTAATGCCCAAAGACTACATTCTTGAAAAACCCCCGAGATGGGAAGAGAGAAACCAGAGCAGAGTTCAAGTTTGTCTTGGGTAATCCACAAATGAACACCAATGGCCGAAGCCGGCTGTCCTCTGTCAGCCCCTCTTGCTGCTCGCCCTATCCAGGAGAGAGCACTGTCCGTGCAGAAGGCGGGCAGTACATGGGCTGCCCAGCCGGGCTCCCGTGCAGAGCGCAGGGCTCAGACCCAGGCTTCCTGATGATAGCTGTCCCACATATGAGCTGTCCATGTCTCCTAAAGCATTTTGCTGGCCTCGTTAGAAAGTTGCTATCCACAACATCAACATGTGGAAATACTTAACATCACACCAGGTAACTTCCTAATGCAATCACTTGAAAATACAAGCTCTTCAAAGACCATTGTTCCTTTGGGACAGCCTTTGCATCCTATGTGCAGACCCGAGGGGTCCTTGCAGGAAGGGGTTGTGGCGCTCCGAACTGCCATGGACACATTCCTGGTCACTTCGCACCCACCCTGCTTAATGCTTTACAAACCCCAGACTAAAATACCGCAGGATGTTTATAAACCAGCCTCCGGAATTTAAACGCGTGAAATAGAGTATTTGGTTCAGCCAGGGCCAGCGCTAGGTCAGTCTGAGGTACTGCAGGGCTACTTGGTGGCTTGGTTCGGTTGCGGAAGAGGTTTGGTGGGGCCCGGGAGTGACCACATGCTGCGGCACGCCCGTTCCAAGGAGGTCACTCTTTTCCATTTAAAGATTGAGAACCTAGACCCCCGAGGAATCCAGCTGTCGGCCCTGTTCATGAGTGGAGTGGACATGGCGCTGTTTGCGAACGACGCGTGTGGGCAGCCCATCCCCTGGGAGCATTGCTGTCCTTGGATGTACTTCGATGGGAAGCTCTTCCAGGCCAAGCTCCTCAAAGCCAGCCGGGAGAAGAGCCCGCTCATCGACCTCTGTGACGGTCAGGTATGTGGGCGGGCGGCTACCTCGGCCTGGGCTATGACTTCCTGCCGTGGCCGGTTGGCGTGCACCCTGTTGTGCGTGCGTGTCTGTTCAGTGACACTTTACCCGACCCTCATGGGTGAGTCATCATTATCGAACACTCATGGCTGACAGAACTGTCGCTCGTGCTTGAGTGAGGCTTCCCTCCCGGAGGCACACTGGGGCCTTCCTGTGCTTGACACCTGGTGCAGCCCTGCAGCCCACATGGCACCGTGGAACAGCAGGGGCCCCAGCGGAAAGCACAGTCCTATGGCACTAGTCAGGCTGTATGATGGACGTGGGCTCCACATGAGCTCAGACCAGAGGCTGACGTTGTCGTGTTTGACCTGGGGCCGGGATTGGCGCACTGTGTGACGGAAGGCTTCCCGGCCCATCCTGTCCCGTCCCCAGCACCTGACAGCGCACAGGTGCACAGGCGACCCAGGGGCATTTGCAGTGCAGGGCTGGAGCAGGCGCGGCCTGTGCGTCCTTGCTGCGGCAGCCTCGTTGCCTTGGTGCCGGTTCAGCTTTGGTTAACACGTGCTGCCGGTCCCTTCCAGGCTGAGCAGGCTGCCAAGGTGGAGAAGATGCGGCAGAGCGTGCTGGAGGGGCTGAACTTCTCTCGGCAGAGCCACCCGCTCCCGTTCCCACCGCCCACGCTGCCCTTCTACCCTGCTTCCGTGTACCCGCGGCACTTCGGGCCTGTCCCCCCGTCACAGGGCAGGGGCAGGGGCTTCGCAGGTGAGTGGTGCTCCAAGGCTCAGTGCTGGGGAGAGCACAGCCTTCTCAGTCAGGCCACTTGTGGCTGGCGTGTGGGACTGCATCACCGCACAGGGGTGGGCCACAGCCATTCCTGGGGCCGGCGGGGGTGGCTGATCCTAGGGCGGTTAGGGGGTCTCTGCAGTGCCGAGCTGCCTTTAACCTGCCAGGACAGCGGAAAACCCTCTGCTCGCCTCTTGACGTAAGGTTGTTTTCCTGTGTGTGAGGGAAAACAAGTCCACCCCATCCTAGAAAGCCATCTTGCGGTACCCAAGTCACCCGGGCCTGGCATGAGCCCTGCTGCCTGTACCTGTAGGGTGACCTGCCACAGAGGGCTTTCACTGCTGGTCCCTAGGGATGGCAGGTGCAGGACAGCCAGGTGGCCAGAGTCTGGACCCTCTCTGGCAGCGGGAGGTGATGTATGCCCAGAAGTGGCCCGAGCCCTTCCCCTCATGCTTTTCCCCTGTCTCTCTCCACCCTGGGTCCCACAGGAGTCTGTGGCTTTGGAGGTCCCTATGGGGACGCGGTAGCGACAGGCCCTTACCGTGCCTTCCGGGTGGCGGCAGCGTCGGGACACTGTGGAGCCTTCTCAGGCAGTGACAGCAGCAGGACTAGCAAGTCCCAGGGCGGTAATTATACCCACCCCTCCCCAGAGCTTCCTGCCGGCACTCCCTCCGCTCTCCCGGCGCTCACCCTCCTCACCGCGCTTTCCAGCCACCACCCCTGCAGAGGCCCGTCTGGGTCTCTGAGAGCCCCCTCAGCACACCCAGGACAGGACCTGTGTGCGCCTGCCCCTGGGATGAGCTGCTGGCGGTCCTCAAGGGCCCCTTTCCAGGCAGCCTCCTTAGGTAAGGAGTGCGGTGCTCGGTCACGAGGCATCTGTTAGGGCTCCTTCGGTAGAAACGTAAGTTTCCATCGCCACGCTCCTTCGTGTTGAGTTTGCAGTGGAGGGAAAAGCTCTGGCAGCTGCACCGTGTGCTGCCGAGACCTGGGACACTGGCTCTGTCCTCATCCCACAGCTGGGGCTGCAGGGACTCCCCTGGCTACATTACAGGACTGTGGAGGTGCACTGTGGAGTCACTCCTAGGATAGGCAGGCCTTCGTCTCCTGGTGGGCAGCGTTCATCCCGCCCAGTGGCCTGGGTACGGGCGGAGACCAGCAGCATGTGTGTAGAAAGATGTTGGGTGCCGTGCTCTGTCTACGGGCGAGGCCGCCTCGGTCCCCAGGCGTGAGCACCTCTGCCCTGCCTGGCAGCCTGCCTGGTGGCCACCCCTCAAGCAGCACATGCAACTGCCCCCACTTCTCTGGGATTACTTCAGCTTCTCCTCGCTGCTTGAAGCTGGAGCTGGCCTGAGTTGGGAGCAGAGCTTGGGGCGAGGGGAGACGTCACCATGGATAGTGTGGTGAGAGGTGACCTCAGACTCAGGTGGCAGGAGGAAGCTGCTTCGGACCTGCCTAGAATCCGTCTGGAACTCAGACCTGCTGCCTGGCCATGTGTGTGATCAGCTCTGACTGGGACTGGTCTACTCCTTGCAGAACGCACTCGGGTTCTATAGGCCCAGTGAGAACAAAAATGTAACCAGCCCCGGGGAATTTTTATCTTGACCCTGTGCTGGAATAACATCGTACTGAATGTACACGAAGTGTCGTGGTGGAACCCACTTCAGCTGCACCTGAGCGCGGCTCTCAGTGGCTGCGAGAAAGCTTGCGGCCACTCGGCCTCTGCCTGCTGAGCTGGAACGGCTGTGGCCGTGAGGTGACTGGCTTTTCAGTCCATCCCTCCGCCAACAAGCTGCAAGCTGCCTGGGCTTCTGCTTTGTTTTGGTTTGACTTTCTTGGGATTTTTCTTAACCAGGAGTTTCGCCATCCATCATATAACATTGGGCTAGGAAACCTTAGAACACGGGGGCCCCCAGTTCTCCGTGGAAGTTAGTGCGTCTAAGACATACCTGGGACCTGTGCTTTAGGAAGTCCCAAGAGCTACAGGCTAGATGTGCTGCTTATCTTTGTAATGCCAGTGAAGGTAGTAACCCTGCCTTCAGGCAGGAGAGCACCCGAGGCTGGCAGGTGGCCGTTGTGGTGAGATAGGTACAGTGCTTTCCTGCATTAGAATTTGATCTAAAAAGCCTTGCAGCATTTGCAGTGGTAACCTTCTTTGGGTTCTGTGGGTTCTTCACAGTAGTTTACAGTCCAACACTGTACACGCAAATAGCCCGCATAGTAAAAGAGAAGCCTTCGCCAGGCCGGGCACTAGTCGGGAACCAGGACTGAAAAGCTGTTTGCTTATTTCACTTTGCTGTTAATTGTGCGATTGTAAAGACCGTGTCTTTCCTGTGTTTTCTGTGCAGGAGTCCAGCCTATACCTTCTCAGGGAGGGAAACTAGAAATTGCCGGCACTGTGGTCGGCCACTGGGCTGGGAGCAGGCGGGGCCGTGGCGGCCGAGGGCCTTTCCCGCTCCAGGTGGTCTCTGTCGGAGGGCCAGCCAGAGGGTACGTGTGCAACCATGAACATATACTTAGTATACGTTTGAGCAGTAGCCACTCACCTGCATTTGTGCCTGTGAATTTAGTAGCAATGTTTTCTGTTACTAGATACGTTCTTTCACATCATTCTTAACATTTGCATAAACCTCGTTATACAGGATTAAGGAACTGTTTTATCATTATATGATTGTTTGACCAGGTACCTTTTGCAAGTATGTATGTATGTATGTATGTGTATATATACATATATATACATATACACACACAGAAGTTATTTGTTTCAATTTTATTTATTATTATCAATTTTTAATTTGACCAGAAAGAGACCAAGAGAGGGAGAAAAATGAGAAAGCAAGCCACCAGGTCCAGACCTTGAACTGTGGTCAGCTATGTGGGAGTCCAGTGCCTTAACACCATGCCACCTGCTGGCCCCACAAGTATGTATTTTTTAGGGTTGGCTCCAGCAGCCATATCCCCTTTGGCTCAGCACGCGGTTCAAGTCCTGGCCCAGGTGGCCTGAGAAACACACCGGTGTGTGTACATGTATGCCCGAGCCTGAAGGAGGGGTTCGAGGAGAGGAGTTGCAGCGTGACCCTTCCCTGTGGGTGCTCTCTTCTCTTTCTCTGCTGTCTCCTTGTCTCTCCACCACACACATCCTCTAGTCTAAAAAAGGATATATTATTTAAAAGTAACATTTTCAAGTATTTTTTAAATGGAATGCATTGGATGTGAAAAAATAAGTAAATAAAATGGATTCCTTTGAGTAAGCCTTTGGTGTGACCGCACTCCATAGACTGAGTTCTTCCCGAACCCCTCGGGTGTGGCACCTCTAAGTTCCCCCAGTAGCATCGCGAATATTGTCCGACTTGGCCTGTTCTCTGTTTACCTAGGCGTCCTAGAGGAGTCATTTCCACCCCAGTGATTAGAACATTTGGAAGAGGTGGACGGTACTACGGCAGAGGCTACAAAAACCAGGGAGCCATTCAGGTAACGACAGCACAGCATGTCTTCCGGCCCGGCCCGCCCCGTGCCGCCCCACCTGCCAGGCCAGCCCCTCGGGCTCTGGGGTTCAGAAGAAGGGGCGTGCAAACACTTCTGTGCTGCCCAGCGGCTGATGCAGGAACTGGTGCCTAAGCGCTAATCTGGGATCAGTTCCCTGCAGCCAGCGTGTCTCACTGTCCTCGGAGCCTCTTCGAGTTGACTGTGGCCTTGCCGTGACCCTCGTGGTCTTTGGTAACTTCCTGTTGGGACACGTGGAAGCTGCGTGGCCTGGGTGGTGCCACAGCCCATGTGGCTGAATGCATTTCCTGAGTGGGAGTGGTTGTGGGTTAGAAATAAACACAGAATAACACAGAGACACACAAAAAGAAAGGTGGGGATCGGTGGACCAGGCTCTTCTGATGGAGGCTGCCCTGGCTGGCCTATGAGCCTAGACTCTCCCCAGAGATCGTTCTATAGGGTGAGAGGGGAGGGGAGGGGAGGGGAGGGGAGGAGAGGAGAGTAGAGTGCAACGCAGAGCTGGTTGTTTTCATTGTGAACCAGCGGAAGAAGTGGACCCTCCGGCGCCTCGCAGCCCTACATGAGCTTCCTCTTACCTTCGCGGGCCTTCTCTGACTAACAGGACAGTTTCCGCTAACCCCCATGCCCTGGTGGCACAGAGGCAGAAGTGTCTTCGGCGTCAGCACAAGAGCCATGTTTCTGCTCGTGTTCCGGTCACTGTCATGTTGCTCAGATCTGGGTGCCCCCCACGAGGCAGACCCGGCACGGCTGCTCCTCTTAGGTGGTTTACTGGGAAACAGCAGGTCAGGCTACATCTGGGTGCCGTGGGCACTGCCTTCCACAGGGTGTGCTGTCTGTCCACCATTGTGTGTGCACAGAGCTGGGGCGGGCGTTTGCACGCATGGGCGCGCATCACAGCACATGGGCGTGTGTGTTTTAAGGTAAGGGCCTTGTGAATCCCTGAGAGTTCTAATTCAGAGCAAGGACGATAGTGCTTTCCCTAACTTCTCTATTACATCTATCTGTCCTTTCCTCTATGCCCGGTTACCGACTGGGCTTTTCCCGTGGGCAGTGCTGGAGGAGAAGTGCGTGTGGTATGTGCATGCCCCGACCCACATCCTGCCACGCTGCTTCTACTCCACCCACACCGCAAAATACTGCACGAGTTGATGTTGAATTTTCTAATTCAGACTTAGGACTTCAGGAACCTTACTTGACCTCCGCTATTATTTCTAGATGTTCTTCCTTCCACGCTAAGAACCTTAGTTCTTAAGAAGCCCGAGTTCCCCGTAGCTGATCATTCACTTTACCCCCCCAGCACCTGCCGATGCTACCATTGCTGGTGCAATTAACCAAGAGCAGTTACCGTGTTTGCGGTGTCTCCACTCTGCCCGTCATCCTCACATTGAAAAGATTACCCCTGTGATCTGGACACATAGCTGCGGCCACTGTCCTCTCCTTACCTTGCCTGTCTCGGTGTTCTAGAAATGCCCTCCAGTCCCAGGCCCCTTCAGGCCTGTGTCGCCTGTGTGTCCATTCTGGTCTCTGAAATTCTTTAGCAGGTTCTACAGGAAGGGCTCCTTAGCAAGGATCGAGGAAACAGTGTTCAATTTGTAACAGTTTGCTTTCTGTACAGTTGAAGGCATTGGTTGGACCAGCCCCACAGCCTCGTGGTTAAGAGATCTGGATCCCAGGGCCAACAGGTGGTGTGATGGTTAAAGTGGCTGGATTCCCACATGGCCAGCTGTGGTTCAATTCCCAGGCCTGGTGGCTTGAAAACCACACTGGGCTTGTGGGTGTGCTTGTCCAAAATCCTGAAAGGAGAATGGAAGAGAAGGGACTGTGGCATAGTTGTCCTCCCTGGGGGGGGGGGTGACTTCTCATTCTCCCTCTCTCTCTTTCTCTGTCTCTCTCTCATCTCCGGCAAGCACATGCACCCTATGGCAAAAACCTTTAAAAAAAGAAAGAAGAAAAGAAAAAGAGCTGGATCCCACATGGCCAACCACGTGGTTCAGATCTCAGACCTGGCGACTTCAAAGACTTTCTAGCATGTGTTCATGCATGCCCAAATCCTAGCAGGTTGGAGGAAAGATTTTTGGTGTGACCATGCCCCATTGGGGGTGCGTTTTCCTTCTCTGTGTTGCTGTGTCTCTCTTTCTCTCTGTCTCTTTCTGGTGAATGCCCACACCCTCAGGAACTTAGAAAAGAAAGGCAGAGGTCCAGCAGGTGGCATGGTGACTAAGGCACTGGATTCCCACTTGGCCAACAGTTTCAAATGCCAGGCCTGGTGGCTTGAAAATCATGCCAGACACATGTGCTTATACCCAAAATCAGAGAAGAGAATGGATGGAAGGAATTATGGGGTGGCCACCCCCCAGTGGGTGATTTTTCACTCTCCCACTCTGTCTTCTCTCCTGTAAGTACACACGCCCTATGGCAAAAAAACTAAAAATAAAAATAAAATGAAAGGAAGGAAGGAAGCAGACTTTGGCTCGTGTTTTCTTTCCTTAAGCAGTACCTTATGTATTTCACTTCCTCCTGGTGTAAAAGACCAGTAATCTAATTTTCCTTCCCTTCTAAGTCATGTGGTATTTTGGCCTAAATGCCCCATTATTGTAGTTAGAATGAAAGTGAGTTTCTTTGGCCCACCTGTGGTGGGCTAATTGAGAGGGTTGGATCCCGCTCGGTCGACTGCGTGGCTCAAGTTCTGGACCTGGTGGCTTGACAGACTCCCTGTTGGGTTCACTGGAGCCCTATGTCCCAAGTGGAGAATGGCGGAGAAAGGACTGCCGCACGGCCATCTGCCCTGCGCCCACCCTGCAGGGTGGTTTCTCACTTTTCCTGTCTCTTGTCTGTCTCTTCTATCTTTCTGGTGAGTGCATGCACCCCATGGCACTTTTTTTTTTCTTTTTTTAAGTGACTTTCCTGGGACCAGCAGTTGGCATACTGGCTATGCTGCTGGACTCCCATGTAGTCGACCACAGTTCGAGTCTCGGACCCGGTGGCTTAAACTCACACTAGACTCGTGAGTGCCCAAGATACCTAGGGATTGCAGGGTGGCCATCCCCTCTGTGGGGTGATTTCTCGCTTTCTGTCTCTCTGTCTCTCTCTGTCTTTCTGGCGAGCGCAGGTACCCTAGAGCAAACACCTCTTTCCTTCCCCCAAACAGTGGCTTTCCTCGTTGGTCCCTGGTGCTGGTTCTTCATGCTCAGTACAAGGGGCACTGCTTCCAAATGCACGTGTACATTTCATTTCAGAGCGCCGGCCTGACCGAGCAGCTCTGCGTCTCTGTCCTCGCCCGTCTGCTCTCTCACCTGGCGCATCCCCTCCCTGTCCTTGCAGGCCCTCCCTGTGCACCTTGGATTCAGCATGCCCCGATTCCTTTTTGTCTCTTCCTTTTTTTGATATATAACTCGTCTACTAGACAGCTCACCGCTTCAAAATATATAATTCAGTGTTTTGTTTGTTTGGTTTCGTTTTAGATTTTTGCCATAGGGCACATGCACGCATAGGAGAGAGAGACAGTGAGAGGGAAAGGGAGAAATCACCCCCAGGGGGGATGTCGGGCCACAGTCCCTTTTCCAGTCTTGTTCTGAGGTTTCAGGTATGCACACATGCACTTGGCATGATTCTCAAACCACCAGGTCTGGAACTCAAACCATGGGCAGCCATGTGGGAGTCCAGTGCCTCATCCACTGTGCACCTGCTGGTCCCTCAGGTGTGGGTGTGTGTGTGTGTGTGTGTGTGTGTGTGTGTGTGTGTGGTTGGTTAGTTGGTTTTGAGAGTTGTTTTTGTTTTTGTTTTTTTTTGCTATAGGGTACGTGCACTTGTCAGAGAGACAGAGAGACAAAAGTGAGAAATCACCCTCCAAGGGGGATGGCCACACTGCAATCCCTTCTTCTCCATTCTCCCCTTGGGATCTTGAACACTCGTGCATATGCGCCCGGTGTGAGTTTTGTGTTTTTTTTTTTTTTTAAGAGGTTTTTGTTATAGGGCGCATGCACTCGCGAGAGAGACAGAAAGCGAGAAATCAACACCCCCCCCCCCGGGGGGGGCGGGCAGACCCAAAGCCCTTTTCCCTCT